TTATAGATAGCTGGAATCCGCTTCCAGACCACGTGGTTAGGGAACCTACGGTTAAGGGTTTTGCGCGCCAGCTCAATGCTCTTGGGTGGCAACAGCAAACCTTTCCTTATTCCTAGCCGACTGCTTCAAATTTCAGTTCTTTTTTTGATGACCCAAATATCTTGGTATTCCACTTGCTTAGCCCTTTCCACTTTCTCTTTTGCCTTCTGAGTTTACTTTTTTTCTTACTTCACGTAACCGACCCAGCAGGGACTACTAGGGCAGGATACGTGGGCATTAATTGGTTGGACAGGGTGTGATGCGGTATTTGTTTAGGTCCATCGGTATTTCAAAGTTCGCCAACTCCTGGTTCAACGACCTGCTGAAGAAGGAACACTCACAGGCTAATCCTATCGTTCCGGTTCCGCTTGAACTTGAACTTGAACTTTTAGTTGGAAAACAAAGGTCAAACAAGTAGTGCTCTTAAAAGTTCTAGTTATTCAAAGGGGACGGCCCTGATAAATTCAGTGCGACTGGTTATAACGTAAATAAAACTTTTATACGCTAACAGCAAATATTTCTGGACAACAAACTTTTCATCCTTCACTTGATCAAGGTTGCACGCAAACCGATATCGTAGTTATTGGCGGCGTTTTTCTAACACTTCTGTTGCTTGTAGGGGATCGTAACGACACATCTCTCCAGAAGGAAAAATTTGGCTTATGTGCCTGGGTACCTCAGCGGTTATTTTGGAAATGCAACAAATCCATGTATAAATTTTTTTTAAACGAACGCAGCAGTATTAAACTGCAACCTATAATTTTGTTCATTTTGAGATCTTGTCTCGGTTGTTCATATAATTGTTGAGGAATAAATGCGCATATATCCTACCTACTTATTCATAACACAACACAAAGTGCTGAATATATCTGCCGCTTTATATTAGCTTTTGAAATGTATGTTTTGAACTATGCTCAGTTGATGCCTGTATTTCAAAGGTGGCCAGTTGTACCGCTGGACGTCGGTCACAGAACTCCTTCCAAGTTTATATTATTCCGTCCGTTCCTTATTTTAGGCCGATCTGAAGTTTTGTGTTTTATTTAGAATTTCCTCGAACAGCCTTGTTATTTTTCATAAAGTGCAATAATTTACAATCTAATATGTAAGCTATTTTTACGGGTATTGACGGAAGTCTGTGTCTTGCATCTGGACTTGATTTAAAACGTGCTCTAGGTGTTGATCATCCGTATCCGTACTTCATGTTGTACTCTCTACTCCCTCATGCGATTTGCGTTTAAACTGAAAGGTACAAATATTAGCGTTTAGCCGGACCTTCCGCTGGCAGATAGGCTGAAGCTAAGGTAGGCCATCAAGGACCTCAAAAGCAGGCGAGCAGCCGATGAACAAGGTCTCCGGTTACTTGGTTTTTGGGTGTTCTACCAGCGATTCTTTTCCGGTCTACCACTGCTCATTCGGGTAGCGCAATCCCCAGGTCTGGACCTAACAAATACCTTCAGGTAGTGCTAAGTAGTGTGCCCAGCACAGTAGCTTAGGTGTTTCCCACCTCTAGCTAAGGTGTATGATGATGATGATGATGATGCAGTTTAAGGAATAAGGTGTACGAGTTCGGTATGCTTGTAAATGTGTCTTATCCCAATATACTAGCATTCACTGAAACATGGCTCTCTCAGGACATCACGGATTGTGAAGCACATCTACCTGGCTACGCACTGTTTAGATGCGATCGCTCCGCAGGCTGGCAGGGAGGAGGCGTTCCTCTTAATGTGTGCTGTAGACGACCTATGGAAGACTTGCTTATTTCAGTCGGCAGACAAAACTGTTGAGCCTCTGTCGGCTGTGATTAGCACATCCTCTGATCAGGTTACAGTTGTAATTGTGTATAGAAGTCCTGGGAGCGGATCCAAGGAGGTACTTGACTTCCTTCGCTCTCAGTCCGCGAACAGGTGTTTGATAATGTGCGACTTCAATCTTCCGGAGGTTTGCTGGGCAGATCTCTCTTGCAATAGCGCTAGGCACATTCGGCGCTGATCTACTTGAGCTTACGCTCCAAGTACCGTTGCATCAGTTCATTGACCTCCCCAATAGGTACATTGATGTCCAAGTACCGGGCATCTTAGGCATTGTGTTTGTTGTCACTCGATGTTGTTGGTGACATTACTTACGGACCTCCACTGGGTTCCACTGATCATGTTTGTTTGCTCTTCAGTTGTACTCTGTCTAGACGCGATCAGAGTACTGTTGAGTCTCTTCCAAACAAATGGCACGCAGACTATCAATCAATGAGAACCAAGGCTGCGGGTTCCCATTGTAAGGTCTCAGGCGATGATAATGTCCAGATTGCCTGGGATAAATTTAAGTCCTACCTCACAGAGGTCTCTGCTCCTTTCATCCCAGTCACAAGGAGAAAGGAGGCACGAGCGCAGCCGCCCTGGATTGACTCCATTGGCAGGCACCTGCTCACAAAGTGATCTAAATGCTCCATCCACCGATACTTATGATAGGTATCGCGTGGCTAGAAATAGATGTAAGCAAAACCTAAGAAATACTCGGCTCAATTTCGAGAAAGGGTTAGCAGACGAAGCTTCAGATAATCCAAAAAGATTCTTCGCATGTTTCAATAGGCGCTGCGGTTCGAACATGTCAATTCCAGTGTTGATGCGTGATGACGGTACTTATGCGCGTACGGACTATGACAAGGCCTGCGTACTTAGTGGGCAATACTCATCAGCGATTTTAAGGGAAACTTCTTTGACATGCGTTGAGCTGGTTTGTGGGATCCCAGAGGTTTCAGGATTATCTGAATTTATTGTGGCGGAGACGGAAGTTCGTAGGTTGTTACAAGTGCTTAACCCTTCTAAGCCCACTGGGCCTGATTTAATTCACTCGAACTGTTGCATGAGTTGACTGCGGAACTAAATGGACCGCTCGCTATGGTGTTTCAGAAATCACCTACCAGCTTTGCATTACCTTCTGAATGGAAAAGTATTCATCTGTTCCATCTTCAAAAATGGGTACAAAAGTCTGACTGCGAATTACAGGCCAGTTAGTCTGACGAGTGTAGTAGTCAAACTCCTCGAGAAACTGATGAGATTCATTGGAGAGTCATCTGAATAGATTTAATCCAATTAACAATGTACAACATGGATTTCGGAAGGGATTTTCTTGTCTGACGTATCTTTTGGTGGCTGGCGAAAGTTGGACGGATGCAGTGGATAACGTCCACGCATTGGACGTGCTTTTCGAAGGCATTTGACAAGGTACCCTATTTGAGGCTCGCGCAAAAGCTGACTTACGAGGTACCTGGCCGCGCCCTTCATTGGGTGACTGCCTTCTTGGATGGTAGAGAACATTGTGCATGGGTAGCCTTGGCTTATCGTTTAGGCAGTCTGTCCTCAGTGGCGTGCTGCAGCGCTTGGTCTTTGGACCGCTGCTGTTCTCTATCTATGTGAATGACCTACCATCATTGCTGTTTGCTGATGACTTGAGGCTGTGGAACATTGTCGATGTTCCTGGGGGTTCCGAAGCTATTCAGTGAGCCTTGGATAAGCTTTGGGACTGGTCTGCTTTATGGTTACTGCCCATAAATCAGGCGAAGTGCTCCGTTCCTCGAATTGGAGGAGGTTGTCCTCCTACGAAGTACTTGGTCGGTGGGTTCGAACTCTCCCGTGTATCTAGCCACGTTAACCTAGGCGTCGTACACTCCTCGGCTTTACACTCCTTTGACAACTAGAAGAAGGACGCTAGCAGAGGTTTTCGCATGTTGTGGTTACTACGACGTTCTTTCTGAGTCTTGACTGACGCCATTTTTAACGAGACTGTTTTCGGCTTTCGTTCGGCCTCATCTGGAATACTGCGTCCAGGTTTGTCCGCCCTGCCTCGTCCGGGACAAAATAGAGCTAGAGAGGGTTTTTTGGGTGGGTAATAGGTTAGTCCATGGGTTACGTGGACGGACGTGCCCCGAGCATCTGCTTAGTTTGGGAATGCATTCAATGCACTACCGAAGGCTTAGTGGAGACCTAATCCTAACCTACGGTATCTTAACTGGGAAACTTGGTCCAGATTTATCTTGGCTATTCAGTCCCGCTAGATTGTCTGTTCTACGCGGTCATTCCTTGAAGCTGGACAAATCGCGGTCCGATCGGATTAGGGTGGAAATCCGGCTGTCACACAGAGTCATCGAGCGCTGGAACATGCTTTCGAAAAGTGTTATCAAGAATCTACGGTCAAGGGGTTTGAGTGGCAACTTGACGCTCTTGCGCGGTAACTTGAAACCTTTCTCTTTTCCTGAGTAACTCGCATCCTCATACTTCGATTTTCTTTTCTGTACTTTTCTTCGTGCCCTGGTATTTCTTATTTTATGTGCACTTCCTTATTCTGTATCTTGGATTTCTTTTCTTATTATTTGCTTACTTCACGTGACTGCCACAGCAGGGACTGCTAGGGCAGGAAACGTGGGCATTAACTAGTTGTCCAGGCCGGTGGCCGAGTGTTCTGCACGTTTGCTTTGCAACCATAAGGTCACCGGTTCGAATCCGCGTAGGGGTGGGCGTCCTCGCGGTATACTCAGCCCGCGCGCGACTGGTGGTGGTCGCGCGGCAGCGAAGCGCCGTTACGTCGTACAGCTGACATATTATCTTTTTTTATTATTTTTTGGTTGTTCAGGGTGCGATACGGGTGTTCCGTTTTAGACCCATCAAGAACTCTGCGCACTTCATCAATTCCTGGCTCAACCACCCACTCAAGATGGAACTCTCACGGGATTCTCCGGATTCTTCGGAGCCGATTTGGCAGAATCCACTAACGATAATTCATAAACTGCGCGTTTCATCAGCGTGGAAGAATTACATAGGTTACGTTGGGTTTTGTATGTCACGTAGTCCCGTGGATCCATAGTATTCCGATATTTCAGCTACAACTTCTTACAACGGATGGCCAACTGACGAAAATTTTGATCGTACCATGGCAGTAACATAGATTTTTTGGTGTTGTATCTGAGCGGAATGAACTTCTCGCTTAGCGATTTAAGTTTGTCCCTGAGACTTCATCAGGATGACTCGACTGAGTCGCCCTCCGGAACCAATCAAACGATTCGGCCTCTCGGCACATACTGGGCAAATCAGGCTTCCAAACCTTACGACGTGGCGTCCAATCAGGGTCGCGTGAGTGCGGTAGATTCAGTCTGGCTAAGACGATCAATTGACCGCTCATGTAACGTGCTATGACTTATAGGTTGTTCGGAATCGATCAATATAAGATCCAAACAGGCTGGAGATTGTTCGGAGAGCAGTCTAGTAGGCTCTTGAATGTGCTGAACCAGACCCGCTTCGAGCACCATGTTCAAGAACATATGCTCAACCAAGCTTCTTTCTGGTAAAGTTATAGGCATTCCAGCCAAGATGCGGGAAATTGAAGTCGCCCATTAAAATGAAGTTACGTCCTCGAACGTGTGTACGAACAGCTTCAATCCAATCGGCGGTAAAATTGACGGGACTCCGATACACAATTCCAACATGAAGTATCCCTTGAGCTGTTTGTGTCTGACACCAGATTTGTCCAGAGGCCGTCACAACTTAGATAGGAGTTTACAAAGCAGCTTTTCATACCGGACCTAGTTTGCAGCAGCACCCCACCGTGTGGATTCAATCTATGATCACAGCGGATATGAAGTTTGCCATCAGTGTTTAGTTCCTCATCCATTACTCCCTCATGAAGCCATGTTTCCGCAAGTCCTAGGACGTCCGGTTTTTCTTGAGCGATCCAGTGTTGCAGATCGTCCCGTTTGTTAATCAGGCTGCGCACATTCGTGAACGCCATCCGCAGGCCTCGCAGCATCAGTAGGATCGGTTTGTTGATGAAGGGTTTCTTGCGCATTACACGAAACTTTACGATTCGTAGATCGGTTTCACCGACTAGCACACGGCGTTTAAGTTCCAAAGTAGCGGTCTTGAGCAGCTGACTCTGTTGTGCGTGAATATCAGGACGTATGTGAATTCTCATTCCCTTTAGACATCCAAGGGGAGAGAGTACTAGCGTAGGGGAACGCGTCATCAACAATTATTTTTATTGGTCGCGGATTATAGCTTGAGCGTTGACCAAGACGAATAATGCGCTTTATACGCATGCCCGGCTCATTTGCATCTAGCAGTTTGTCGACCAAGCATTGCAGAAATTCTAGGTCGTGATTATACCTTGCTTGACGGTCACAATCGTCCGACTCCGGAGCGCAGAATAACATAAGGCGATTTTCCTGAGGCACTATGTTGTGCTTGTTAATAGATCCCTTTGGTTCAGCATCAGAGTTTATCATTTGAGACTTGGGCAATAGACGTTCACTTTTGCGCTCGGGGCTTTCGCATGCGGGGGCTTATTCATGCTGTCTGATGGGTTCTGATTGACACAAAGTCGGTCTCTATCCTCAGAGATAGTGGCTGCTTTATCTAGTGATACAATTGACTGTAGGCGGTCACTGATATTGGGATTTGCTATGGCATCACGCATTGTTGTAGACTGTGCTGACTGTGGGATTCGTCTCTTTTTGGATGCTCGAACATCTGGGAGAGAAGAGGTTCGTTTCGAAGGAGTTTCCTTGCCCACTGTCAGTAAACAGGAACCAACGGGAACAGGCTGTTGTGCACATTTACAGGTGGTATAAAGAAATGGGATATGGTCATATGGGTGGTATTTCAAGGCGCTGTACAATTCCATGCTCATTGATGCGCAATGTACGTGCTTCCACTTCATGTACTCATCACACTGCATGGCTGGGTGTTTGTCCAGAACGGGTGCTCGACATGTCATACACTGATCTAAAGGCATAATTGGGATTATTGCGAATGTCGCAGCTTATAGAATATTGGAATCTTAGGATGGAGATACGTCAGCAACGATGCGCTGTATCGGTGGCAGTTGCCCTCCGGGTACGATGTGGTAATATACAATACAGGTATTAGTCAATCGTTAACAAACTTTATTGCCAACGAAGAGTTTCACCAAAAGTAAATGTTCCTGTAGTTTGGTTTAAAAAAGGCAATTTCAGCGCCACTTGAAAAATTTCACCTGCGCGCCACCTCAAGCTACTTACAGAAAAAATACAGGATATTTTCGCCGGACATAAAGCCTCTGCAGTCTTAAGCTTATAAACGAAGCACACTTGTAAACTGAGTGTTTTTCGAGCAAAAATGAATAGACCAAACTTGCGCAGAAAGTAAGTACAGCATCGCGACGAGACTGGACCTTAACATGATGCAGTGGTTTGTGTGCCTCGATGATCTATAAACTATGCTGGATATTGTTCTTCGTACCTTCAGTGCCATTCATACCAGGTTAGTCAATGGTTAGAGGCCAGACAAAGTCTCCCGACCCTCCAGATTGTGGGCTGGAGTGAGCGTGACTCCTTACTTCGTAAAACGGACTGCTTGTATCCCAGTGCCAAAATCCCACTGCATTGCACTCAGGTTTTTGAACCAAAAGCTTTTGTTATGAACCCTACTCGTTCTCCTGTCTAGGCCTGGGCAATCTGACATTATCCTGCCCACGCAATACAACACTATGACTGTTCCTTCGAACAGTCTCTTGCTTCTCTTGCCTTCGCCTTACCGCTGCATCGAGCAGAATGCATGGAGGTTTGGATGCTACTGTTCAGACTTTCCCGTCTTCTTATCCTTCCTCTTGCGCGTTTTCACCCCTATCGTCCCGTTCCAGATCCACTTCTATCCCCCTGTTTTCACCCCCGCAATTTTTGGTCCACTATCATCTTGTTTTAATAGTTCCTTGTCTTCTAATTTCAGCCTAAACGCAATCGCAACGCGTCGCTGCAGTCCAATCGACAAATCCATGTCCAACCAAGCGGATAACATCAGTTCATCCGTTTTTATTTGGAGTCCTCGGTCCTTGATAGTACTGGTATGCTTCAACTTGTGCACTTTGCTACAGATTGGCAGGCAACACTTGCCCGAACACTAGAGGCCCTATCGATATCCTGCTTATCGGAAACTCATCTGCATGATGCGAACTCCGCGCTTACCCTGCGATCTCCCACATGCGACACTGGGGACACTTGCTCATTACGCATGCTTGTGAATGACGCAGATTCAAATGCCAGTCAATATGTAGTGTGCAGTGCTTTGAATCCCCGGACAGATACTGCCCTGATCGATTAGATCTTAATACACGGCAGGATGTGCGCTGTCAGATTGGCAGGCTCGTTCCAGTTTTCGAAGTCGCCTGGGGACAAACGGTGCCTTTGTCATTTCGACCCACATCCTCACAAACTGTAACACTCATTTGATGAAAGACGCAATTCACCACATACTTAACGATCTCCTTCGTTACAGAAATAGTACAGATATTGTGGTATTTGCTGGTGATCTGAACGCCCAATTTGGAAAATTATCCACTGATGAACTTCATCTGGGCGGCCAACACGGTGTATGCTCCCATAATGAAATGAGTGAGCGGTTGCTACACATGCACGAGGATGCCCGTCTCTTTCTTACGAGCGCTAACTTTCGACGCAGCACCCGTTGAAGAGTGACTTGGCACCCACCAGCCACGGAACATACATAGACGCTACTCGATCATCTCGCGAGTAGTTACGGCTGGAGAGACTGCGTCCAAAACTTTCGCTCGATTTGGAGCTCGAGCTTGTACCCTGATCACGCACTTTTGCATGCCGACCTTCAGGTGCGTTTTGGCGGACGTTCGCAACGTCGCCGTGAGCGCATAGACACCAGCTACCTGGCGAAGTCAGGTGTTCTGAATGCGTATCAAAGTACGCTGGCATCCGGGCTGAGGAAGCGCCCACTGAAAACCGTTGAATATCACTGGTCGCATATTTGCCAGACGTTATTATCAGCAGGCATGTCTTCATGCGGCAAATCAAATTACCAACCTGGACATTTGGTCTCTATACAGTCTCGAGCTTCTGGATGCTCGCCGATGTAATTCGGCCGGAAGCGAACACAATGAGACTCGCAAAATCCCAGGGCGCAACTCCGTGTTAGCTTGAAGCGAGACCGCGAAGCCTGCTGGTCTCATCGTGCGTCGGAGATAAGGATAACCGCTGCCCTTCGTAATCATCTGAGGTTATTCCGCTTATACGGGAAACTGGCAGCAGGAGACCTAGTGTTAAGGCGAACATAAGCGATGATAGTGAGCAGCCGATGCACAGCTTGTCAAGACGCTTGGACCTTTGGGCCGAGCACTTTAGAAGCAATCTAGCCAAACTGAGTTATCACTTTCTTTTTGGGGAACTGATTCTCCTTTTCCTGGGCAGTCTCCTTAGATCCGCCCTCACGCGCAGAGGTCAAACGAGATCAGGTTGTTGTAACTGCAAAAGGCCGCAGGGGCGCGAACTAAAGCAGAGCCTGCGTGCTGACAAGAAAGCCTGGTGGACTAGTGGGGCTCAAGAAATGGAGGAGGCAGGAGCAGTAGGCAATTATCGCAAGCTGTTTCAGTTAATCCGCATAACTGATTCCAGAAAACCAGGCATCAGTGAGACAGAGACAGCGCGGGTGCACTAATACACAATAAGGAGCGCCGTATGGCTCATCGGGCGGAACACTTTCAAGATGAGTTCAGCTGGCTCCCTGCTCCCGGACCTATTCCTTCTTAGGTGATGCAGGACGAGCCATGTACGGTTAGTTTAGAGCCTCCGTCGGAGGCCGAGGTCCGAAACGCGATAACAGCCCTTAATCTTTTTTGTGCCGCTGTCCCGGATTCCCTCCCACCTGCAGTATTTAAGAATGCAGGTGAGGTCCTCTGCAAAGCACTGACATCCCTATTCGAATGTATCTAAGCAGGAAGTGTCCCGACTAATTGGAGCGAATCGATTATAGTGGCAATGTACCAAAAGGGCACTCGCACAGACTGTTCTAATAACGGAAGTATTAACCTAACGCCAGTTGTGACAAAATTACTAACCTCGCTTCTCGTTCGTCGCCTCACTGCGAAACAGGAATCTCGGATTAGGAAAGAACAGGCCGGTTTCCGCCCAGGACTTGGCTGTATAGACCACTTTGCGGCATGTGCTAGAGCAGCGCCACGTATACCGCCAACCACGATCTCATTATTTAGCGTCATATAATTTTGCATAGTAATTTTTTTGATGCACCGTTCCCGGCTGGTAGCTTACCGGAAAGATGACCCATCCGTTACCGGTAGCTCAGCCGGCTTGCACCAGTTGCATTTTTTTATTCTCTCCTTTTTTCTGTGTATTGCGACACAGTAGCTGAGGTGTTCCCCACCTCTAGCTAACGTGTATGATGATGATGATGATGATGATGATGTATACCGCAGACCGACAATAGCTGTGTTCCTCGATTTCAAGAGTGCGTTCCATTCAGTCGATCGATGCATTCTGTACGAAATACTTGCGCGAAAAGGTGTTCCACGAAATATGTGAACATCCTACATGCTCTATACTCAAACACTACACGTTGCGTCAGGGTCTACGGTGACCTATCGGATAGCTTTCCGACCACAAGTGGCGTTCGTCAGGGTTGTCCGATTTCCCCATTTTTGTTCAATTTCGTCGTGGATTCTATCATGGAGTGTTACCTTGCGGAATCTCACGATGTAGGCGTCGAAGTGCTGCCTGGTGAAAGATTAGTTGACCTAGATTATGCGGACGATATCGTCTTGCTTTTCGACGATGTTGCGGCGGTACAATCAACCCTAAATAGTCTGTCTAGAAAGGTCCCATTATTTGGTATGCACTTCGCACCTTCAAAGTGAAAAGTGTTGCTGCAGCACCACCAGCCACTTGGTGACGCCTTGACGTTTGCTAACGAGGAACTCGAGGTGGTTGATCAATTCACTTATCTTGGCAGCTGCATCAGCAATGATGGGCGCATAGAAACTGACGTGAGCTCACGCATTGCAAAGGCCAGAGCTGCCTTCTTGAACCTGCTGCCTCTTTGGCGACAGAAGGGAGTTTCTCTCCGTCTGAAAGGCCGTGTATAGAAGGCCACAGTGAGGGCCGTTCTGCTCTATGGTAGTGAGACTTGGCCCCTTCGGTCTGAAGATCTGAGACGCCTTTCTGTCTTTGATCATCCTTGTCTGCGAAACATTGTTAGTGTCGGATGGCACTAGCGTGTCCGCAACGATGATGTGCGTAAGCGAGTACTAGCTAGTGATAGTCATGCTAAAACAACAGGGCGCACTGAATAAGTTGCGTTGGCTCGGGCACGTGCTACACGTGCCTGGTCACCGCTTACCTAGGATGACCTTATTCAGTCTACCAGGTGTAGGGTGGCGCAAGGCTCGAGGTGAACAAAGTTGACTTGACAGTGGGAAATGAAGTCACTGCCGACCAAACTGGGTGCCGTTGGCCCGTCTCGCCTTCCGGGCTGGAGTCCACGTGACTCACCTTGTGCTTGGCTCAACACTTTACAGGACATGGCTCGCAATGGACACCAGTGGCGCGTCTGCTGCCGTCTCCTAATCGGATTGCCTATTTAAAGTGTGTTTGGTGCTGAGTTATTTGCGGGGTAATGGCTGATTATGACTTGTGGCAGTGAAAGCCGCAAGGAAGCTATCTCGCCCATGCTGCCTTATCTTTTCACCATAGCCAGCTGTTGGTGACGGTATGTTGTTAACATAAGGCATAGGCGCATTGACCCTGGATGTTTTCCTCGCGCAATCAGGTTTTCAGGTACGTCCCCTTTCTCTCTTCTTATTCTTTATTTCATAGGTCCTCATGGTTGTATGGCAGCGAAGCATCAGTTCAAATAGCTGATGTACGGCCGTTGATGATCATGCTGATGGTGATGGTGATGATGATATTGAGGATGATGATGGTTATGATGTTGATGCAAGGGCAAATGGAGTTCCCCCAGCCGGCTTCGAATTTTGGGACCTGCTCTTGTAGATTTGCACAATTTATTAGTAACGCTTTGGGAACGGGAGACTGTCCCAACGGACTGGAGCCGCTCTGTTACTGTCCCGTTCTTCAAGTTAGGCTGGCGTTTGTTATGCGGAAATCACAGGGGAACCAGTCTGATCTTAATTGCCTCCAAATTTCTTGCATCTGTCGATCTCCACAGATTGACTGGCACTCTTGAAATTCGGATGCGCGAGGAACGAACCGTGTTTCGTCAAAATTGAGGCTGCATTTACTACATCTTCACATTATGTCGGTTATTGGGGCATTACCATATTTATTGGCGATTCACCATAGTCTTGTTTCTCGACATCAAAGCTATCTTCGATTCAGTGGGTTTTTGTGCCTTTTGCGACTGCCTGCTAAGGAAAGGTGCATCTGTTAAATCCCTATACATTATCAGATAGCTGTACGTGCTTTGTTCGAGCAGAGTGAGGGTTTCTTTCAACCATTTCCCTTCAGAAATTTTAACAGGGCAATAATGAACATTTTTGCTGGATAACCTAAATTCAGATTATTTCGTGTCTTTTTATTCATCAGCTTACAGACAGGCCGTGAAAAGAGTAAAGAAAGGCAATTGAAAAGGGTGTCGATAAGGAAATCAATAAAACGCTGAGGAAATCAAGGCCCTCGTACTACGTCTTACCAGGGCAAGGCAAGACTGGTCACAAGGTCGATCTATGTGAAAAGGTTAGTTTTCATTTGCCGGATGGCAGAGACTTCAGCGAAACGAATCAAGCTCGCGTTGTTCTATCCGCTGATAACCTTGAATGCGTCCCATGCGTTTTCGCACAGGATACAATCTAGCAGATGCTGGGCGATTGAGCTGGCAGGAAGTTTTAAGCCACTATTTCCCAGGTTCCCTGGAACGTGTTCCATGATTCCAGTTGATAGCCTTCTCTCGGTTCGGCCAATGTACGTGCTACCGTAAGTACAAGTGGATTGGTAAACACATGAGACGGTAACCTGAGGGTGATGCTTATCCAAGTTGGATTCATGGAACAACTCATTGGTTTGATGTAACAACACGAGCTCAGGTGCGTAGTAGCACCTTTTTATTGCTTGGCGTAATCGACAGCACAATCTGTTGTTCTCTTCCCCTTTGTATGGTAGCGTGACGAAGACCTTTTTCTTTAGGACATCCATTCACTTTTCTTTCTTAGCAACTTCATTCCCATACATGGCAATAAATTTGTTCGGATAGCCGTTATTGCGTAAGTTAGACTCGATGTATCGTAACTCAGCCTCGGTTGACTCTTCAGAGCATATTCGGTATGCACTAACAAAATAACTTCGAACTAGGGATCGTTTATAGTTCATTGGACAGTAACTGTTGAAATGTAGGTATTGTCCAGTCCAGCTCAGTTTCCGGTAATTCGATCTTATGAGTGAACTATCTGCTCTTCTCTTAAGTGCAACGTCAACAAAACGAAACGAATCCTCTGATTCACTTTCCCTAGCGAACTTAATATTAGGATGGCATTAGTTTAACGTTTCCAAAGGGACTTTTGCTTGTTGGACAGTGTCAACTACAACAGTAGTATCGTCGATAAACGTGTAAAAGTATTTTGCTCAAATGACTTCGCGTAAAAAGTTACTCTCCAGATGACCCATAGGGATGTCAGCAAGAATCGATCCGAGAGGCTTACCCGTCGCAACCCCTTCAATTTGACCATACGTCTTCCCATCAATGCAAAATTGTACGTCTTTCGTACAAATGATGAGTAAGGTCTTCAATCGATATGCAGGCTGGCCAACTTTGTCCGCATGCATACTTATGATATTCAACTTCTCATCCAAAGGAGCTTTCATGAAAAGGGAATAGACATCAAATGTACCATGTGCTTATCTTGAACCTTCAAGTGTCGAACTTTGTCAATAAACTCAAATGTGTCTTCTAGACCGTGCACCGCTAGCTCCGAACGTACAAGTTCGAATCACTTTGTCAACCAGCTTGCCAGTTTCTGGTGCGGCGCCGCAACCATTAAAAGAATAGAACGCAATGGAACCCTTTCTTTGTGTATTTTTGGCAATCCATACATACGAGGAAAGTCTTGAGCCTCGGTGGCGGAGTTGCGCCATAGTTTTTGCGTCGATTACTCACACTTTGTCTAGTGTTAGTAGCTCACGCACTATCGACTTTTCTACTTTTTACGTTCTTTCTCCCTCAGATCTCTAGCGAATCTACCCTCTTTCGTGAGCACGGATTGCACCTTTTGAATATAATTGTTTTCACTCATGAGGACAACTTCAGAGCTCTTGTCGGGTCTCAGCAACACAACATTCTCCTTTCGGGGTAGCTGTTGCAACGAATCAAAATGTTTCATCGTGATAAACTTCGATTTTTCAGCCTCTGTGATGTCCAATCGGTTAGCCTTGGCTTTAACCCAACTACTCACGTCTGCGGTTGACGGAGTTAGACAAGAAAGCTGCTCTTTCAGGTGTTCAAACTGCGCTTTAATCCGTATACGGTCACATTAACCAGGGGGAAATGAGAAGTTGAAACCCAGCGATAACGCTTCAATTTGGGGGCGACTAAGCGGTACGTTGGACAAGTTCACCACGTACCTCTGCGTTTTAGGTGGAAGTTGGTCATACAAGCGCTCAGTAGACACAGTTCAAAATTTGCTGTTGACAATCTCATTTGACCTGAAACTCGCAGGAAATTATAAAATTTCGCGCAACAAACAAGTTTGAGACTGTTCAAGAGAGGTTCCAAGCATCCAAAATCGGCTTTCAGCTGTGTGCTACGATGCACAGAAGTCTCAATCTGAAGCCTCGTGTATCGCAAATTCCGAAAGTTAACGTACAGATGGTCATTCCTCAGTGCTTTACAAACGTGACGCGGATACATGGACACCCTTATGTATTCCTTATAAGCATCAGTATGTGCGGCTTCACGCGAAATGAAACAACCTAAAGACACTGCTTTATCCAGTGAACGAAACTTTTCAGAAGGGAGGCGTTTTTTTAAGAATTCCGTGCAGCCATTTCCCTTCAGAAATTTTAAGAGAACAAAAACGAACAACATTTTTGCGGGATAACCTGAATTCAGATTATTTTGTGTCTTCTTATTCAGCCGCTTACAGACAAGGGTTTACGGCAAGCTTTCGCCACCCTTAAATATCTCCAGCAGTGTGAGATAAGATTGCCTGCTTTCACCTTTTCTGTTTAAATTCGCCATTGACGAAGTCTGGAAGCAATATTCATTTGACACGACCTGCAATGTGTGAAGCTGCTTCTTGTCTTTGAGCATGCGAATGACATTGCCCTTATCTGTGACAGCTCCCAAACATGCCAAGCAGCATTGGACCGATTAGCACTGCCTGTAAATCGTTCTGCGCTCTCCTTTTCTTCTTCGAAATGCAAGTGCTTCTCAAAGATTGGCAAGGACCCACCCATGCGCTGACCTTTGATAGTGACCAGCTAGAGGTCGTCCAGAAATTTAAGTAGCTGGGCAGCTACATTAGCTCCCGTGGGATAGAAGACGAGGTCCCAAACCGTGTAGCAAAAGCTCGAGGTGCTTTTGCCAATCTCGGGCATCTATAGCGTCGATGCGACATCACTGTCTCTCCGAAAGGCGTAGTTTACAAAGCAACCGTGCATTCAATCCTCCTATACGGTTGTGAAACCTGTCCCATTAGGTCGACATGTAATAAGGCTAACTGCGTTCGACCATCGCTGCCTTCGCAGTTTAGCTGATGTCTGGTAGGAGCACCGCGTGATCATTGAATGTATTTGACGTGGTATATTTGGTATTAGATGTGCCAGTAAAGCGCTCAGCATACTGAGCTCACGCACCAGTTCTGATGACTAGGCCACGTGTTTCGCATGCCTGCCCACTGACTCTCGCGTCGGATGTTGTTTGCTCGTCCGGGGTGTGAATCACCAACAGCAGTACATCAGCCATTTGAAATGATGCTTCGCTGCCAAACAACCATGAGAACCTATGAAATAAAGAATAAGAAGAGGGAGAGAAAGGGGACTTACCTGAAAACCTTAATGCCTTAAGCAAACATTCGGGGTCAAGGTTCCTACACCTTGTGTAGCCAACTTACCTTCACAAACAGCTGGCTATCGTGCAAATATAAGGCGGCATCGGCGAGACAGCTTCCTTGCGGCTTTCACTGCCCCGCGTCATAATCAGCCATTACCCCGCAAATAACTCAGCACCAAACACACTTTACGCAGGCAATCCGATTAGGAGACGGCAGCAGACGCGCCACTGGTGTCCATTGCGAGCCATGTCCTGTAAAGTGTTGAGGTAAGCACAAGGCGAGTCACGTGGACTCCAGCCGGGAAGGCGAGACGGGCCAACGGCACCCAGTTTGGTTGCCAATGACTTCATTTCCCACTGTCAAGTCAACTTCTGTCCACCTCGAGCCTTGCGCCATCCTACACCTGGTAGACTGAGTAAGGTCCTCCTAGGTAAGCGGTGACCAGGCATGCGTAGCACGTGCCCGAGCCAACGCAACTTATTCAGTGCTATCTGTTGTTCTAGGGTGCTAGCATGATTATCACTACCTAGTACTCGCCTACACATAATCGTTGCGGACACGCTGGTGCCATCCGACACCAGCAATGCTTCGCAAACAACGATGGTCAAAGACAGAAAGGCGTCTCAGATCTTCAGACCGAAGGGGCCAAGTTTCACTACCATAGAGCAGAACGGCCCTCACTGTGGCCTTGTATACACGGCCTTTCAGACGGAGGGAAACTCCCTTCTGTCGCCAAAGAGGCAGCAGGTTCAAGAAGGCAGCTCTGGCCTTTGCAATGCGTGAGCTCACGTCAGTTTCTATGCGTCCATCATTGCTGATGCAGCTGCCAAGATAAGTAAATTGATCAACCACCTCGAGTTCCACGTTAGCAAACGTCAAGGCGTCACCAAGTGGCTGGTGGTGCTGCAGCAACACTTTTCACTTTGAAGGTGCGAAGTACATACCAAATAACGGGACAACTCTGGACAGGCTATTCAGGGTTGATTGGGCCGCCGCAACATCGTCGAAAAGCAAGACGATATGGTCCGCATAATCTAGGTCAACTAACCTTTCACCAGGCAGCACTTCGACGCCTACATCGTGAGATTCCACAAGGAAACACTCCATGATAGAATCTACGACGAAATTGAACGAAAATGGGGAAATCGGACAACCCTAACGAACGCCACTTGTGGTCGGAAAGCTATCCAATAGGTCACCGTAGACCCTGACGCAACGTGTAGTGTTTGAGTATAGAGCATGTAGGATGTTCACATATTTCGTGGAACACCTTTTCGCGCAAGTATTTCGTACAGAATGCATCGATCGATTGAATGGAACGCACTCTTGAAATCGAGGAACACAGCTATTGTCGGTCTGCTTTATGTTTGGCGCTGCTCTAGCACCTGCCGCAAAGTAAATATATGGTCTATACAGCCAAGTTCTGGGCGGAAACCGGCCTGTTCTTCTATAATCCGAGATTCCCGTTCTGCATTGAGGCGACGAACGAGAATCGAGGCCAGTAATTTTGTCACAATTGGCGTTAGGCTAATACCCCTGTGGTTCGCACAGTCTGTGCGACTGCCCTTTTTGTATATTGCCACTATAATCGATTCGCTCCAATTAGGCGGTACACTCTTCTTTCCATATACGTTCTAATAGGGAGGTCAGTGCCCTGCAGAGGACCTCACCTCCATCCTTAAAGAGTGCAGA